TGCCTAGACATTTTTTTTCCTTAGTGTTTCTGTGGTGAATTTAAAGATTGTATATTTTCAAATACAAGTTAATCGCATTATTTTAAGGAATAAGAATGTTTATACAAATTTTGAAATTGGTTTGTTTTGCAAATATTAATCAGTAAACATAAATAATCAGTTACAATATTATATAATGATTGAGATATGACTAGAGATAGTTATATGTTTTTGAGAATGACGTCAAGGACGGTGCCATACTTCCATAGAGATAGATACTTCCAGAGGAGTTTAAGATTTTTTAAATTAAACAGGATATTGGGGAAAGTTAAACTCCGAAAACCTATTTTGGGGCCGTTCACTTATGACGTCCATAAGGGGATGGGGGGTCGGTCAGCAAGAAAATAACAATAGAAATTCCAGGATATCCCAAAAATATGACCGTTAATTTCAGACGCCATAAGTGAACGACCCCTTTTATATTAATCATTTGTTAAGTGAGGTTAGATCACGTGAGTTGAATTGATTTGGTGTCATAATGTTTAAATCACCTAATCCTTAATTATTAGGATACACACCATTCAAACAAAGGTTCGAAACTTAGAAACTTTGTAAAATAAAATTAAAAATCCATCAAGATAAATTCATCCCATAAGTCTTTAAGGGTCTTAAGCCATCATACACAGCAAAATTCACAAATAAGTTAATATTCAGTATTTAGTTGAAGAGTTTGAGCTACCAAATATATTCAGCAAAGCTACAATTAACCCCTTAAATTGCCACTAAAGCTCAAAACCATAGAAATTTCACACAAAACCTTCATTTTTCTCACTTTCTTCTTAGACTCACACCTAGCCTATAATCCTTAATATACCATCTTAATATTAACCATTTTCAAAACCAGACAGATTACATCTTGACGCTTTCAGATCTCATTATAAATCATCCTCAGCATATCAATTACTTCCACCCAAAGAAACAACATTTCCACTCATCAGACTACACCAAAATTTTATTAAATAATTAAATCTAGCAAACCTAATGTAATATAAACAACGCCGTAATATAAATAAATAATGACATTAACATCTACAGTATCAGCCGAGGAAAGAAAAATTCTTCTAGACTTCCACATGATCTCCAAGCTCAAATTTTCGCTTATTTACACAGTAATAATTTCTTATCTGTTCTATGTTCGCATTACATCTTCGTTTTTATCATAAAACAAATTTTTTTTATGCTGATGTAATTTGATAAGATCATCGTGAAATCTAAGATGACTTGAAGAGCTTTTTTTCACGTCTTTTGAGATTTAAAACGCTCAATATAATGAAATATGAATCGTTTGATAGCTAATTGTCATTATTTATTATGTTCGAAATATTGAGATTTTGTTTGTTGATGGCGAACGAGGGATGGTGAATTTGTGGATGGATTTTTGAGGAGTATGGACTTAGTTTTTAGTTTTATCCGTGGCAAGGGTAAGTCTTGAGTAACCTAAGTAAGGAACAAGATGCTTTGTGTCTAGGAGACTGTCGACTGTATTAGCAACACAACACATGCTTCTGATCTCACTTTATGAGTCATCAATAACATATCATGGACCAAAATGCTAATTGTATTTCAAATTATTCAAATCACGACATTATGTCGCAAAAAAAATACAAAATTCGTGTCCATATAATCCATTTATTAGTCATCCAACACAACTGCACATTATAAATTCAAAAAGCAATAAGGAAGTGCCACCGATATCCTCATCACATTTCAAAATCTACAAATTATTTAATCAAGTTAAAACTTCTTTGCGGTTTAATTTTTCCTTAGTGCAACAATATAAAAATATTTCCCACACCTCGCGAGTAAATCTTGAAAAGAACTTGTGAATTTTCAGGCAATTAATATTATTGCAAATGAAGTGCAAACATTCAGCACATTTTTAATTGAAAAGAAAAATTGTACAAATTCCATTCAACTGTAAACTGATGATGATCACTTACTTATCTCTGGGGAAGTGAATGATGAATGATTTTCAATTACTTTGCAGATTTTAGATTGTTAAACAATGGAAATTTTCTAGATTATTGAGGTTTGAAATGGAAGTTTATGCAATTTTTGAGTGTTTGTTGAGTGGACATTGAGCGGTTATCTGAAGAGTTGATTTGGAATGTTTGATAAAGTATTTATATTGGTATTGACATTGTAGATAGATATAGTGAAAGAGCTGACTGAGTAGAGTGGAATCTAGTATCATTAGCCATTTGGAGGCGAATCTGTCAGTTCGAGAGGAGGGCCTATGCAGATGAGTTGTTAGGCGAAGTTCCATTTACTTGAAATCCTCTTTTATCAGAATGTGGGTTCAAATCCTTTCAGAGTCATTGCATAGCTCGTCTGTAAATCATTACATAAGGTCTTGTCAAATAGACAAGGAATCTCATAATTTCCACGATCCTAAAGTTCACATACGCAATGGCTTAAGTTTGAAGCAAGAAACTGACCTAAAGCTAGTCTGAAGAGTTCTGAAGAAGTGAATAACTAGTCCAAATCTGGTCAAAGCTAGTCAATCCAAGTCTTGCGGACCCAAAGATCCAGTTTACACATAAAGCAGTAGAATTATTCTTCGCTCACGGGTATTCAGACTACCAACATGAATTTAACCAAGCAGACGGTACAAAAATTAATGAAATATTAATAGCTCTAGTAAAGATAAGTGAATAAATGTGTTAAATTTTATAGACACCATCATCAAACGTGAAAATATGTTCATTAACAAGAAAAATCAACTTTCCTCGTCCCTAGAATAACTTTAATCTCTCAAGTGACTTCATTTTTAATTTTTCAAGGCGATAGAAAGAAAAATTTTCAAAAGCAAGAAAAAAAATCATTAAAAAAGAATTTTTCTAGAGTTTTTTAATTGCACAAGATAAAAAGAATTTTTTTTTCATCAAACTTAAAATTACTTTAATTATAATCTTAAAATGAATTGAGATCATCTCTTTAAGAGGAAAGAATTCTTCTTTATAATTAGCTGACATTTTACAGAAACTTGTTTTCTACTTGTTTGCTGTCATGCCTAGCAGAATTTTTTGTAACAAGAAGTATTGAGACTCGTCTTGTTTTGAGTGATATCTTAGTCTGAGGTTAAGAAACTCTTTGTTTATTAGGTTTAAGGTCATTAGAATAATTTAATTAATGGCATTTCGTGGTTTATTGTTTTGACTAGTCAGAGACATTAAATCATTATTTTCAAATATTTTTTCGTGGTTTTTTTTTGGAACTGGTTTTGCAAAAAAATTAAATTGCCGAAAATTCCAAGTATTAACTGTGATTTTTCACATCAGATCAATATTCTGTGGCGCTAAAAAATTAACACTGAAATGTTTTGCAATAATCTTTCAAAACTCAACACAAACATGCACAATTTTTAACACTAAAGCTAAACAGAGTGTCAATCATAAATCTCTACTTTATAAAACATATGACTTGATTTTCCTAAGGTTAGTGTTCGTTGCTAATTCCACGAAAAACAATTCATCGTGTTTTAAAATGTTCTCCTTTTTTGCATTAAGATTTTATAGCTACTTTTTAAGCTGCTTCATCTTTACTTTTGACTCACAAGTTTTTTAAATGCAACTCGAATCTTCAAGCAAGTTAAAGTAGCGATTTTACTCAGAGATATGCGATTAGAGTCCTGACTTTATTTATCACTTGTTTTTCTTAAATTGAACTTGATAAACAGATCCTTAAGCGACAAAAATAATTTCTACAAGCAGCAAAAATGTCACAAGTAAAAATTATCCGCCTTAACGACAAGAATAATCAGGTTCTCCCATACACTTGCTAATTTATCGTTTCAAGTTTCCAAAATCAGCTGTTGTGCTGGTTCTCTAATTATGTAATCATGCCCGTTATTCTCAACAATTCTTTACACTCTTTAACATTTTCACTTTCGTATTTCTTTCAACTTAGTCAATCCTCTACTCACTTTATTTTTTGTCAATTCTTTGTTGGATGTGCTTCTTAAATTTCATTGTAATCTTTGCTCTAATAAAAGACGAATGAACACACAAATTTATCTACTCATCAATAATAAAAAATCATCTCGACTTTTAATGCTGTATATTCTCACAAGCAACAAAATTCATGACAGAAGATATAAACTATAAATTTTTTGATGGTCATTTGTGGACGATTTTTGTGAAGTTTGCACATTTTTGATGAATCGAATGTTTTTGAAATATTGAATTTTTTTTAATTTCAAATATTTATGTGATTATGAATAAATAGAACATAATATAAGCTGAGTTAAGCGATAGGTTGTGGAATTCAAAATAATGACGTGATTTTTTGTTGAATCAATTCTAGATAAAATTGATTATTTTCAAGGACAAACAACTTTCTTGGTGATCAGCGGCTGTTGATTACTTGTTCGTAATTTAAAAAAAGATTCAAAATTAAGAAAATTTAAAAATTGGAATTTAACAATTTTAAAGTAAAAAAATATTTAAAAATTCTTATAATTTTATAAGTTTATAAAAAAATTAATATGTTGAAAATTTTATAAAAATTAAAATATTAATATATTTAAAAAATTTGAAATAAAAAAACATTATTTAAAAAATTCAAAGTTTTAAAATTCCACCAAAAAAATTGTCACAACATCAAAAATTGCATAATAAATTCGAAAGCCAGCAAAAAACTCTTCCGCAGCACATTAAACATTCAAAAACCTTTTGTTCTCACTTAAGTTTAATTTAACAGATTAAATAATGTCCGAATCAATTGAGCATACTGAAATTTTACAGAATAAAATTAAAAACATTTTTTCGGCATCAGCAGCTCCTCAAAAAATTGTGTCTAATTAATGTTGTCTTGATATTTTTTTCGACGCTTCGAAAATTCCCAATCAAAAACTCGAAAAACGTGAATTTGATATCACTGATGTTATTATTATCATTTGAAAACTCAATCTAACTTCACAGAATCACACGCAACAATGTCAGCACTTTCTTGATACGTACCTTATATGATGCTGATGATTAAATTTTAAATGTAATGTCTGCTTTATATTTATTTGATTCAATAATCAATAAAAAGAAGTATTTTTTATGCTTCTGCTTCTGTGTCACAGGCACTCACATGAAAACCATTAAAATCGTTAAAATAATAAAAAGATGTGATATTTAAGGAGTTTGAAGGAGGAAGAAAATCGATAAGTAAGTAAAAAGTTACTCCAGGCGTTCGGCTTTATCACTTCCTTTACTTTGTTTTTATATCTTTTTGAATTAATCAAAATTTCCCTCAATTTTTTTTTCAATTTTTTTCTCAACTCCAAAAAACACGAAAATCTTTAATTTTCAATTATTTTTAATTCCCGCTTGTTTGATGTCTAAACTCATTGAGCGTCTACTGCTCACTGTTGCTTTAAAGTAAAGTTTTAAATAAGAAAAACAGCAATCCGCGTATGATACAGACAAACAGTTTTAAGCATGCAAAAAATATATATACAAAGCAACCTTCTCAATTAGTTTGTATCAAGCATTGCCTGCATACTTATACACATATCTCTTCTAATTGAGTTTTGAGTCTCTCACTCTCTCAATAGCAGTATAGTCGATATATATTGACATAGATGCATTTTTTTGTATTTATTTATTATTTTATTCTTTTCTGTTATTGCTCACATGCTGAATGTTTTCATTCTAACTCCGACTATAAATACTCTCAATGCTGTAGTTAAAAATGTTTTGCAAAAATGATCACAAAGTATGTGTAGCATATAATGTTACAATAATTATTGTGCTAGGGAAGTTTAAATATTTTTAGATGCCGCACAGCATTTTGTCGCCGTTGCTAATATCGATAACAAATTTTGTGGCTTTGAGGCTTGTTCTCGAAATATTTTGCTTCAATTAATTAATGATGTTTAGATGAAAAAAAATTTACTTTATCAAGTTTAATTAGAGTAGATTCTTCTTCTGATTTGATGACTGAATTTTCTTTTTCTGGTTTGTGTTGATTGACTTTATGTCTCGTAATGGAATCTTCTTTTTGTGGCTTTCTGTGGATTTTTGTCAAGTCTTTTTACATGAAAAGTTTTGGATCTTCTTTGCATCTTAATTCAGTTTTTGATTTCTTGATTTTTTTTTTTTGTGGAGTAAATTAGATTTGTTTAAGAAATTTTGTTGAAAATACTTTCATGATGGAGCCTGATTAACAAATGATCAGAGTATTTAATGAGATTAAGGTTTGAAAGTCTTTTTTCAGTGTCATGACTTGTAAATATCATGATTTTAGTATTTTGTATTGAAACTTTAAATTTTAGAAGGAAGAAGCATACTTCTAGAGGAAAAAACCGAATAGCGGATCCCGAGCGGGACTCGAACCTACGTCTTACGATTTCTGGTCGAATTTTTCCACTACTGAGCTATTGGGGGTCAGACTGGGTTAGACCACTTTATAGCTAAATCCCATACATAAGTCAAGCTCTTTTTTATGTTCCCTTGCAACAACATGATTTATCGTTGACTGGATATTACATGGAATCGCTTATTTCAACATTTTGAGCTTCTCAAAAGGAATGTTAATACATCACCAGCCAGCTTAAAAAATCCTTGCTGTGCTAGCAGTTTCTGTGTTTCGCAAACAAAAAACAAGCCTTTTAAGCGCAAGAATAAGAACTTTGTCACCAAATAAATGTGTTTCTATTCAAAAATTGATAATTGATACTTTTTGAATAAGAAGGTTCAATCAAGTAGAGGTTGATCTCTCAATTAGCATATAAAATATGATTATTCGTAGCATAAAAGCATTTCCACAGTCTTCTTTAAACTATCTCTTTTGATATTCAAGTATTAAAAGATTAAAGTTCACTACAAAAGATTCCAAGCGTCACAAAAATTCTTTAAAAAAGTTTAAATCTGTAGATTAAAATTCCAAATCTTTTCAAAAATCTTGAAATTTTATTACATTTAATCTCAGCTTATTGAATTCAAAACTTTGGAGAAATTTTATTGAATACTATTAAATAAGCCAATTATGTTTCCTTGGAAAATATTCGCAATATTTTGGGTTACTAGACATGTTAAGGGAAATAAAGGACATCCTTCATGTATGATTAATTTTATTCGTTTTCTGGACGAACTTGAAAACCCAAGCAGATGTTCATCCTAATTCACATCTTGTCTTATACCTTTAAAGATACAGTTTATATGACATAATGTTTTCCTAGAAAACAAAGCTTTTATTTTGTCTACATAGCATAGATGAAGAGCTTTTTGATAAAGCTTCAAACGAATCACTTAAAAACCATTAAAGGAAATCGCCTGCTTTCTTGGAAGCTTTAATTTGATAAAATGTTAATTTCTTAGTCGTTTTCTTTTTCATGATGATGATGAATTTTAATTATGAAGTGCTTTGATTGGCTTTAGATTTATATAGATAAAGAAGCGTGATGTCTAGCAGAATTAGTGGCAATGCTAAGGAATGGTAATTGTCAAAATTCATTTGTGAACTTTTTAGGTTTTTTGTCTATACGTCTTGCAATATGTATCCAATCATTCCTGTCAATGAACAAAAATAGCATATCAGCTCTAATTAATGCATTTGCTTAATTTAGATTTCCAAACTTGAGAATACTCCACTTAGCATTTGACACATAACAGAAACAAAACCATTTTATCACAAATTATCACCCCTTGAAACATTATAGACCCATTCAGCGCTAAACAAACAAAACCAGAACAAAAATACCCAAAATAAAATAAAGAATAAACAATAACAAAAAGACAATACAGCAATTCCACTTAAGTAACTTAATAACTAAACATGCTGATCATGTTATAACCAACACCAAATAAAATGTGATAAAAATTATAGAGAATGAGTGAAAATGAATAAAAAAATAATAATATGAGAAGCTACCAAATACAATAAAAAACCAACACATGCGGTTATTGTCGCTAACAGCAAAAAAAGCAAGCAAATGATGTTGCTGAATCAGCATGAAATGAGAAACATTATAGTCACATTTGACGACGACGATGATACACTTTTCCTTCCGTTCCTCTCTCTCTCTCTCTCCATTTCTCATTTTTCGGGCTCTTCTTATATCTATTATTTTTCTGTATGTGTTATATTTACCGCTCATCTTAAATATGTGCGAACAATAAAGCAATTTAAAGAGATAACATAAACACGCCGTTTTTTCTTCGTCATTTGGCAACAGCAAGAATGAAAAAAAAAATTGAAAAAAGAGAGTGAGAAACAGCCAGTGAAAGAAAACAGAATTGAATAAATGTTCTTTTTTTCGGGTGATATCAAATGCTGTACGGTGTGTATTATGAAGCATTAGTGAGTAAGCTAAATATAAGAAAAGATTGAGAGGCTCTTTGAGGATCAGTTTAAGGCGCACCATCTAGAATTCTAAACTTTTGTAGCTAGAGGCTAGTTATAAGACCTAGCTAAGGGTATGCCCTAGTCATGGGTGAGTTACAAACTTGGGTATTACTGGGGTTACTTTTTTAAAATGGCTAGAGTATGTAGTCTTTTGGATGGCTGGGATGCACATTTGGTATGCCTAGTGTACATATGCCCTAAGTTAACGCTTGACTTTTTGGTTTCCCTTAGGAAATAATCGCAACACAGCAGTACCTTAACCCTTAAATCTATTGCTCCATAAATTATTAATTGATCAATTCAATCTATTTTTCATGATTTTTGCATCGCATCATGAAGAATCAGTTTCAGCTAGGAGTTTTGCCATCCAAATTTATGTCCACAAAATTTATTTTTAAAGACCCCATTCAACTTGCATTCAACTAAGCTCCCCAAAATGATGACAATATTTCATTCCATTTATGTTATTTTTCCCTTACTTAAAAGTTAAAAGAGCATGAGGAGGTCAGGCCAGGAATATAAATTGCTGTACACACTGAAAGAGCATGGAGCATGTAGCAAGGGAGCTAAAATATTTTTTAATAAGATGAATTGCACCCGATGATCTATTTTTATGTTGTTCGTTCTTATATCTTTTGGTTATCAGCATTAGACCTCCTTTTTATATACTTATATATTCCAGGCATAGATAATTTTAAATTTATAAAAATTGTCAAGGAAACAAAATATCGCGATAACGAAAAATTCAGTATTCTCATCATACAAATGGATCCTACATCACATAAGCGTGCGTTGGAGCAGGGATATATCAGCATTAAATGGAAAAAATATAAGGTATTTGATGCCTTAACCGTCAAGCGATGTTTCAAATGTTCACGTCTCGGCCACATAGCTTCTAATTGCAAATCGAAGACATCCATTTGTCCAAAATGTGCAAAACCTCACAAGGTCACGGAATGTCAAGCTACAGAAGCAAAGTGCATCAATTGCGCAGAAGCTGTTTCAAAATACAACATAGTCTTGTGTCCAAATCATCCCTCCTACAGCCCAAACTGTCCAACAATGTTAGAAAGACTAACGAAGCTGAAAAGTGCAATTGAACGCTCCTTGTAGCAATTAAAGCTGCATCTTGTATGGTACACGAACTGTCAAAGCCTCATCTCAAACTTGCCAGCAATTAAAGTATTTATTTCAGAATTTAAACCTAAAATGTTATTCCTCTCCGAAACACGCACAATCTCAAATATGAGTGACAATGAACTGTCAATCCCAAACTATAATTTGTATCGAATTGATTCCCAAAATCGGCACACAGGAGGCGTTGCATGCTATATACTTTCTTCCATAAAAGTCGATATTTTTGATTGTTTCAGTCAGCAAAACATATGGTCCATGTCATTGAAAATCTTGTACGGATACTCTAAAGAAACCTTTTGTCTAATCTATCGAGGACATAAATCCACATCGCCAGAGTTCATAAACTTCATTGAACGCACCTGTGAAATATTGGCAAGCAAGTCTTCAACCTTTCATCTTGTTGGTGATTTTAACTACGATTTTTTGGACAAATCAAAGTCAGCACCATTAATACGAAAACTGAAATCGTTTAATCTATTTCAAGTCGTTGATTCTCCGACACGCGAATTCAAAGATAGTAGCACGATAATAGACTGGGTTGCAACGAATCAAAAGAGGCTCAAGCCCGTTGTCAGAAATGACTGCAATATAGCTGATCATAACTTCATATGTTTTGACTTCTTCCCTCGCAAAAACCAAAGCAATATAGTCTCCCGCATACAAGCTGACTGGAAGAATTATTCTCCTCAAAATCTGTCAACTCATCTCTCGTCTCTTGATTGGAATCGCTTTGACCAATTGCGTGATGTTAATGACAAATATGCCTTCATGAGCGATAGTTTATTGACTTATTTGAATTCTAGCGTCGTAACAACAACTGTTAAACGAAGTGCATCTTTCAAATGGTATAACAGTGAATTATCAAAATTGAAGGCA